GTTTTCCAGCTGTTAAAAATTGGTAATGCTTGATATTCCTCTTCTCATTTTCAATTTTAAGTTGATATTCACTTCCATAACTAATTTTGCATTCTTTTTCTTCAAAAAAACCTTCTCCAAGCTGTGGAGCTCCCACTATACTTGCAAATAAATTATAAGAGATCCTCTATCTCTTTACCTGACAAACATTGGAGCCTTTCAAATCTACCCAATTCATTTACAATGTCAAAACCAGAAAGTACAGTGGAAACTCTAGCCAGTGGTAATTTCCACTAAGAGTATTTTTTTTTCTAATGACTTACCCATGCTGAATATTTTGATGTCATGAAAAGATTGAGAAATTTTGTTCTCCCTGCCCTAAACCTCCACCCTGGTAGTTTTCCCTTTCACACACACCTCTTCATTTCCTGATTCTGGCCCGGACTTGAAGCAAAGGCACCTGAGTCCAGCCAGGAAAGCTGTTATTACAAAAGTTTTGGCTGAATAGGCGCAGGAAATACCAATAACCTTATGTGAGCTCTTCCCCAATAGATAACCAACGTCAGTGCATAAATTTGGTGCCCTTGAATAATTTAGATGACGCCTAGATAAGGTGGAGACATTTGAAAACATGCTTTCTCCTAATTTTTTGAGGCCACTGGGTTGACGTGGATTTCCCAAAATGAAATGCTGAAATAAGGAAATATATATATAAAATGGCAACCTCCTGAAGAACAGTTCTACTGGGAATATTGTTCTAAATTCTCCCATTCTTTCTCTCTTTCTTTCTTTCCTTCTTTTTTCTGAGACCCAGGCTCACTACATATGTTGCCCAGGCTGGTCTTCAACTCCTGGCCTCACGTAATCCTCCTCCTTCAACCTCCCAAAGAGCTAGGATGATGGAATCAGGTCTTTGCACAAATAACTATGTTTACTTCAATCAGTTCCTAGATCCAAGGTTAAAGAGGAATTCTTTTCCCAGGGTGTTAAAAGAAAGAAAAAAGACAATGAAAGAGAAAGGGAGAAAAAGAGAGAGAGAGAATTGCCCTTGCAAATTCCCCAAATCTCCCCCAAAGACCAGAAATTTATTGAGACAGGAAGTAGGGGTTCCCTGTTAATTACAAAATCCCACAACAGCCAGGTGTGTTGGCACACTTCTGTAATCCCAGCACTAGGGAGGCTGAGGCAGGAGGATTGCTGTGAGTTTGAGGCCAGCCTGGGCTACACAGCAAGCTGAAGTCCAGCCTGAACTGCATAGTGAGACCTTGTCTCAAAAAAAACAAACACAGAACAAAACAAAACTCCCCAGGACACATGCACAGAGCAGTTCTCAAAGTTGTGCACTTGGACTTCTTGTGGGAACAAGAGCAGGTTTTCTATAGAATGGCCTAGACCTGCCGTTAGCCTGAGGAGTGGGTGATACAAGAAGGACAGTCCATACTGAGTTTTGCCCGTATGCTCTCTTGCAAGGGGTCCCACCCTCACGCTGCAGGGTGTGCTTCTTTTCCGACTTAAACTTGCTCGGCAGAGCCTGTTTCTTCTCCCACCTTTAATAATACTCCACTACAGTTGGTGCTTGTCTTGACCAGTTCTTCACTCAAGACAGAAAAGAACCTAAAAACCACCTCCAAAAGGAGACTCTAGCACCCCAAATCCAGTAAAACTACAAGAACATGTATCTCCCTTTCCACCATGTTACTGAGTTACAAAGTTTGAAACACCTGACTCACGTGTTTATGAGTATCCCACCCTTATTTCCACCTCGGGCAGTTTTGAAATCTTTATTGTTCCTTACAGTATTTGACATAATAGTTTTGAGTTCTGTTTGCTACGCTAGTGAAACAAACATTTCAGGATTAGAATGGGCCTTGTTGTGACCTGCCTGATGACTCAGCCTGGGGCTACCAACCCCTGGGTTCCCAGCACTGACACAAGATTGTTTTTCTGCGTTGAGGGGGAATCTGTTTACACTCATTCAGTTGCACAAATGGGCTGGGTTGTTTGTACTGCTTGGGGGCAGAACAGTAGGGCCTGGCCCTGTATAGTTAGCTCTGTCCTAAAAGTCTTAATGGTAGTAGAGGGTGTGGCAAAAGATTTTCAAAATGACTCCCTCCATAAGAGGCCATAGTATTTTGTCTCTATGGGATTGATTCTGGGCATGTTCCATGACTTCTGTTTACTTCCCAGATATTTGTGGCGTTGATGTACCAGTCACTAGAGTAGCCACAAAGCAGTGAAACTGAACAGTAGGGTGCTTTGCCTAGAGGTTGCCTATCTGTTAAAATTTCTGCTAAGTCCCTCACGCAGAATAAGAGCTCATGTCTGCATCTGGGAGTAGATGCTCAAACAAGTAGACACTCTAAGTGAACAGAAATAGTAGAAGTTGCTAAACTGTATTGGGAATGAGGCCCAGCCAGCTCCACAAGTCCAGTTAGACAAGAGCCTGTCAACCCTAATTGCCTCTTTGGCTGTGATCAGGCACTTCTAAGTAACCCAGGTAAGAGGTAAACAAGGACATGGCTCTTTTTCACTCTTATTCCTAAATTAAGAAGGCTGTTCACTGACCATCTATTCTACTAACATCTCTGTTACCCAGTTTACAACTTACTGCCTCTGGCTGCTACACCCCCACCCACCCACTACTGACCTTTTAGCCTTCTGACTATTCATTCCGCTCCTCCCATATTAAAAGGATTAGGGAGTGGTTTGAAAACCAGTTTTTCTCTTAATTAAAAATTCCAGGAAATGGGAGGAGGGGTGGGGAGTAGTTGTCTTAGGACAAAACTTCTCTCCAGACAGTAGGTTAATTTCAAGAGAAGAGGTAAAGGACGTACGAGCAATTTACCTTCCTCACTAAACCTGTGTTATCCACAGCTTAACTGAAATCATACCCAGTCCTCGAAGTGATGGGAACAGGGAGGGCAAACTGGAAACCCGACAGTAACAAACAGCCCACGCTGTGCTGCACAAGAGTGAGAAAGCCACACTGAAGCGCGTGGGGAGAAAGAACCTGTGTAACTTCGAGACTTAGAATTTTGCCTGTAAACTAGAAGAGGAAAGACAAAAGAACCACACACAAGGAGTGTGCTCCCTAACGCGCTGACTCCCCTGGGTATGACTTAGCAACTCCGAAACAACTTCATGTGTAGAACAAAAGTAAGTCTATTGTGGGTAAGGAGAGCCATAGTTCTCACTGTCAGAGAAAGGAGTTAACGCCTGAGGAAGAAGGAGATGGGAACTCTGTGGATGGAAAACAGGTCCAAGGATGCGTTCTGTTGGACATGTGAGTGTGTGCATGTGTGTAGACTTGTGTGTGCACGGATGGCTACTTTAGTTCATCTGGAGTCCTGTCTCCCCTTCTTTGAAAGGCCTACCCAGAATGCCCAGGTAAAGAAGGAAAACAGATTGTGTCAGTGTACTTTAAAAGTAGATGGAGGGGCTGGGGATTTAGCTCAGTGGCACAGCACCTGCCTGGCAAGCGCGAGGTTGTGAGTTCGATTCCCGGTACCTGAAAAAAACAAAACAAAACAAAACAAAACAAAACAAAGTAGATGGGAGCTTTTCCCTAAGGAAAAAAAAATGTCCTGCTTGAGGCATGATGCAGAGCTGCACAGTGGGGAAGGGGAGCTGAGAGAAAACAAAAACATCCGGGGCATACGGGTCCCCAAGCTAATTGCACCCAGCAGCCTGTTCAAAGTATTGCGAGCTTCCATCACTGTATTTCCACTCCCCTCAGACACTCACAAGCTCAGAGACTGCTGATGAATTTTAGAATGTACTTTTGATCTGTAAAACTTGTCTAAAGGGAAAAAAATCCTCCTCTTTAAAATTTTGTAGGAAAAGGCAAACTCACACTTTTAGAAACTCTTCTGAGCCACTTTTAAACTAATCAGTGAATAACATAAAAGACACACGGTTCTTCAGAAGCAGGTCTCAGAGACTCCGCACACAGGCGGACTCAGGAACTTACAAGCCCACTGAGTTACTTTCTCCAGGGCACTTTCCCATCCATTAGTCACTCTCATGTCTTAAGTGAGAGATTAGTCAAAGAGGTTTGATGCTACAGAGTGAGTCACGGCCCCCTGCTATGGCTCGGTGAAGTGTCTGAGGGGTACTGACGGCAATCCACTTCTCTCTGAAGAGCTGTTCGGGGAGGGAAGACGGCTTTGCATCAAACTGTGACTTGAATCAGAGAATTTTCTGGAACTCAAAGACTTCTGCTGATGAAGACTATGGTGGCAGTCACCCCAACATAATATTCTGTCCCAGAATTTCCTTTCTTCTCACCTACTGCTGTCTGTGAAAAGCTCCATCTGCACCAAATCTCCTTGCCTTGTAACTTCTCTCACTCTCGTTGGCAACTCCAAGAGACCCGAAGGGTTAAAATCAGACTTTGCTGTATCTGCTTCCTTTGCCTGATCGTGGTGAAGCTGTCTGAGAGGTTGATGACAGGAAGATAGTAGATTTGGCCAGATATAATCATACCAAAACTATGGGGTTGAAAGACCTAACAAGGGGCTGGGGATTTAGCTCAGCAGCACAGTGCCTGCCTGGCAAGCACAAAGTCATGGGTTCGATTCCTGGTACTGGAAAAAAATCAAGAAAGACCAAACCAGGAGCTAAAATTATTGGCCACAACCCTTCTTAGGGTCTCAAAGCTATGGACCTAGAAAAGCATTACTCTTTACAAGTTTTACCCTATTCTATGGAATCTGCTAGCTCAGAATTTGAGGTTTATTTTAGAATGTATTTCAATGAAAGAAACTGAAATTTATTAAATACAAAATCCTTGCTAAGCCTAAAGTCTAGGATTTATCCCTCCAAAAATATTGACTTTTTTTGGTGAGTTTTGGTAGTTTGTTTGAGACAGGGTTTTCCTGTGTTGTTCAGGTTGGCTTTGACTTCCTGAACTCGTGATCTTCTGGCCTCAGCCTGTACAGTAGCTGGGACCACAGGCATCCACCACCACGCCTGGCAACTAATTGTTTATGATGTGCCAGACTCTGCAGTTGTTGGGGAAATTGGGACAAACAAAAAACGGGCCTGCCTCTCAACAAGCTTATGAACGGAAAGAGCACAAACAAAATGAACAGCTAATCTGGTAGGTCACAGAGAAAAATGCAGAATATCACAAAGGAAAGAGATCCATCTCTGGGGCTGTCAAGAGTGCAGAGAACTGACACCTGACCTGGCTCGAAAGGGGAAACAGTGGTCCTCAGGAAGCCTCCTGGGCAGGGGAGGAACAGTGGAGAGAGGGGGAAGAAGGGGCCTTTTTTGGAATCAAAGCAAGCAGCAGGTGCAAAGCAATAGAGGAAAGACATAGTATCTCATCCTGAAACACACGCAGTCAGCGTTCCTGGCGAATTTGATGGCAAGAGACAGAAAATGAGGAGGTGGCTGCTGTGAAAGAAGCCGGTACAGGTGAGGGCGCTGAGCCACGGGGACCACCTGGACCACTCTCAGCCCCAGTACCGCCAGCAGCAGGAGGCGGGGGATGCTTCCTGAAGAGACCTGGTCACATGTGCATGTTGGAGCGAGATCTCAGGATGATAGCAAGGTAGGCAAACTCCAGGGACACCATGTCATTTATACAGTCTGGTTAGAAATTTTTCTCAACGTATCTTTTTTCTCTTCAAAGTCATACTGAACAGCACTAGGCTGCTTTTCTGTGATCTTTCCTGCCTGGTGCCAATCCATCATGGTGTCTCTTATGCCCCAAACAGTCAGCAGCACTAAGATAGAGCACAGAGGGCAGATTTTAATTGCTACTGGCCCGCACCCTCTTTTCACCTCCTCCTGCACTGACCCCATATGAACATCCACTTAGTGAAGATACTCCCCTTACTCTGCAAGGGGAACTTCCAAGCAAGGCTCCTGGCCCCCTTTTCACTGTACCTGTGTCTCTAAATCCCTTCAAAAAACATGTGCTAGAGCATCCACTATCAGCTAATGACTCTCAGACTCACAGAGAACCGTCAGACACTTCAAGACCTTGGAGTTCTCTTCTCCTAAAGGCCCCAGGGAAACCTCTTATCAGAGCCCCATTGGTCTGCTGTGGCTGGGAGAAGCCTCAGCAGGTGGGGCTCAGGGAGATGTCTCCAGGCTGTCTGCATCAGGCCGTTTTAGCCTTTGGCTAAATCTTTGGCTGACTTTCCCAAGAGTCTTTCCAGGGTTGGGCTGCCACATAATCATATTTTCTCTGGACAGCTGAAAGCCAAGGACAGTCCCATAAAACATAGTGTTGATCACTTGCAAAACCAGGATGACTTCCCTGCAGTGTTTTCAAAGCATAAAACTAATAGCTACTCATAAATAGGTTCCTTTGTTTTATACAGTTTAAATAACATTGGTTAGGTATAACATGATCACTTCAGTTTACTTTTTTGAGACTAAATAACCTGTCTCTGTCTCCCCTCTTTCTTTTTTTTGTCACTTACATTTTCTGCTTACCTGTTACCAAGATATAAATTGTCAATAAGAAATTAATTTTTAAAAAAATTAGTAATAATCAGAGGAGCGTGGTAATAATAGTCTATAATTTCTGCACTTTGAGAGGCAGAGGCAGACAGATTGCAGATTTGTTCAAGACTAATTTGGGCAACTTAGTAACTTTGTGAAATCCTGTCCCAAAAAAAGAAAAACATTAAAACAGGATAAGGAAATAATTCAGTGCAAAGTCCTTGAATTCAGTCCCAAGGAAAACACACATACACTCACACACGAACAAGCGTATAACAATGAGACACACTAAACATGTTCCCCTCCCTCTTCTCCTCTCATTCATAGGATTGCTAGACTTAGCAAATAAAAATACAGATGCCCCAGTTAAGTTATAGGCACATCTTATGCAATATACATGTATACCTTAAAAAATCCTATTATTTATTGGATATTCAAATTATCTAAGAAGTATGTATTTTATTTGTCAACTAATTCAAAAAGACTTTGGTTTTGTTTAATGATATTTTGGCTTGGAAGAAAATTCTACCCAGCTTTATAGAACAAAATATAAAGTAGTGTCACTTGTTAGATTAAAAAAAAAAAAACTGATGCCAGTAGATAACAAAAGATGTTTTGTGAATAAGTGTAGCCTAACATGAGAAAATGCACACCATAGGTTAAGTGAAAAGTCCAAAATGCATAATTAGATAATAGCAATAAAATAATAATAGCTAGCCTTATAGAATGAAAGCTATGTAACAAGCGTGTTCTAACCACTCTTTTGTATTAACATGTTTAATACAACCTATGAGATGGATGCTATTATTATTCCCAGTATAAAGATGAAATAATTAAAGCCTCCAAAAGGCTTATGTGCTCACTAAATATACATTCACACATATATACAGTGTATTACTGAAAAGCCAAATGATAAAAAGTTATACTATCAGGATGGTCCTGGCAAAAAACAGACCTGAGGATCAATGGAACAGATTAGAAGATGCAGACATAACTATAAACATACTCAGCCACCTTATCTTTGACAAAGGGGCCAAACATGTTCACTGGAAGAAAGATAGCCTCTTTAATAAATGGTACTGGAAAAACTAGCTGTCTACATGCCAAAGACTAAAACTAAACCCATGCCTCTCACCATGCATTAAACTAAAGTGAAAATGAATCAAAGATCTAAATATTAAAACAGAAACATTAAATCTACTAGAAGAGAAAGTAGGTAGAAATCTTGAAGACATTGGGGTAGGCAGAGAGTTCATGAACAAAAACCAAACTGCTTGGTAAATACTTCAAAGAATCAACAACCAGGATCTCATCTTATTGAAAAGATTTTGCACATCTAAAGAATTCATCAACAAAGGCCGAATGTGGTGGCGCATGCTTGTAATCCCAGCACTTGCAAGGCTGAGGCAGGAGGATCGTTGTGAGTTGGAGATCAGCCTGGGCTACAAAATGAGCTCAAGGCCAGCCTGAACTGCATAGTGAGACCCTGTCTCAAAAAGACCAATAAATAAATAAATAAATAAATAAATAAATAAATAAATAAATAAATAAATAAAAAGATATCGTGAACAGAGTAAAAAGAAAACCTATGAATTTGGAAAAAATTTTAGCCAACTGTCCCTCAGATAAAGGACTTCTATCTAGACCATGTAAAGAATTTTTAAAAATCAGGCACCCAAAATTCAAAGACCCAATCCAAAAATGGGCATCTGAGATGAATTCACACTTCTCAAATGAAGAAACACAGATGGCAAATAAATATATGAAAAAATGTTCAACATCATTGTTCATTCGAAAAATGCAAATTAAAACAACACTGAGATTCCATCTCACTCCAGAAAGAATGGTTATTATCAAGAAATCAACCAATGCTGGGCTTGGGGCACAGAGTTGTAATCCCAGCATATAGGAAGCTGAGGCAGGAGAACTGTTGCGAGTTTGAGATCATCCTGGGCTACAAAATGAGCTCAAGGCCAGCCTGAACTGCATAGCAAGACCTTATCTCAAAAAGAAAAGAAAAGAAAAGAAAGAAAAGGCAAGACAAGACAAGACAAGACAAGACAAGAAAAGAAAAGAAAAGAAAAGAAAAGAAAAGAAAAGAAAAGGAAAGAAAAGAAATCAACCCATAACAAATGCTAGTGAGGCTGTGGGGAAAAAGGAACCCTTCTGCACTGTTGGTGGGAGTGTAGACTGGTACAACCACTGTGGAAATCAGTGTAGATATTTCTCAGTGAACTAGGATTAGAGGCCCCATTCAACCCAGCTATTCATTCCCCTTCTGGGTATTTTTCCAGAAGAATTGAAAACATCATACCACAGTAATATATGTGCACCCATGTTTATAGCAGCACAATTTGTCATAGCTAAATCTTGGAAAAAACCCAAATGTCCATCAGTCAAAGAATGGATAAAAAATGATGTGGTATTTTTATACAATGGAGTATTACTCAGCTATAAAGGTAAATGGATGCAACTAGAGACCATACTCATAAGTGAAATAAATCAGATTCGCATGTATAAACATCGTATTGTCTCCCTACTGTAAGAAACTTAAAGAGGAAATAAAATCCAAATGATACAATAGATATCATGAAAGAGAAAGAAACTGCTCAAAAGGAAAGAACAACTGGGATGAGAGAAAGGAGAAAAGGAAGAAGGGAAA